TGATACAAAGGTAATTCAAGACCTAGCAGATCCCACAGTTTTCTCAACATAACCCTCAGGGACAAAATGTCCACCAGCAGTTGCATCAATCCAGTGTTTGTAAAAAATCATCAACGATACCAGGCTTATGATATGAAAACCCAGACATGTGTTTCATCTACATAAGACTCATCAATGGCACTTGATACAAAACAGTTGGAAGGCCAAACCAATAAAAAGTTAAAGAGTATTAAGATCCAAAAATTTGAAAAAAAGTTGTACAAATAAGGCAATGGCAATCTATGCCTGGGGTAGAAAAACCTTAGTGTTTTGAATATTTTAACATTTTATATATCAAAGACTGCTATCAAATATCTTTTTGTCTTCTTCCTCTTCCAGAAGACAGTCGAATAATTTATCTTCTTATACATCAAAGACTGTTGTGAATTTCACCAAGGATTTATATAGTAAGAAGCCTTCTTACTATATAAATCCTTGATTTCGCATTAAGGTTCATGTGGACCCTTTGGCTAAAATGGCTGCATTTTCACCTCAAAATTTACTCTGAGTACAGACAAACCTGTGTATCTGGAAAAGATTTAAGGCATAACATGCCCTAGATAAATAAAATTCAAATATATTTTATATTTTAGAAAATTAAAAACTAAACAGGATTTTGCAGTGCTTTTTTTTTCATCCCTGCAGAAGATGATAAAATTAACAAACAGTTGAGTTTCACTTGATATGGTCCACTCAGGTACACAGTTTAAATCACCAATTATTGTCAGGTATCTATTGTCCATCTATTGTCCATGTCAATCAATACAGTTCACTTCAATTATTACCTGTGGGGAAGTTCTCAAACCTCTTTCCCAACTTTATTTTGGCACCTTCTGGAGGAATGAAAAAAAGTGCACTGCAAAATCCTGTTAAGTTTTTAAATTTCTAAAACATTAAATAGATTTGAATTATATTTATCTATATGCCTTAAAACTTTCCAGATACACAGGTTTGTCTGTACTCAGAGTAAATTTTGAGGTGAAATTTCAGCCATTTTAGCCACATGAACCTTAAATAATAAACAAATATCTGACATGTACTATCCATTATTTCTGGGAGACAACACTTGATATTATTGCATGATTACAAAAATCCATACCTTCTTAAAACATGTTGTAAACTCCTTGTTTTAGACAAGGCAAAACGTTTGAGTAAATTAACTTTTGCCATTCGTCTTACTTTCCGTTTCCACCCTACTTTCTACTTTCACTTTAAATTACCGGAAGTACAGTCTAGTCACATAATTTCGTGGATACATAAGTTCGTGGACTTCCGGAAATCCCAAATATTTCGCATGCGTGTTATTGTTATGACGTCATCATTCGCATGTTTTGATTGCTATAGGATATCCCTACAACGTCAACATACAAAATGAATCTAGTCGTTTCAAGCAAGGTAAGACTTATTACTTATTCATTTAATTAGCAAAATGGCTGATTTTACTTATTTCCTAATTTGACTAATTTCCATCGACCTCGATACCTTTATTCCAAAGTTATTATCCAAAATCCAAGTGTCGTCTGGTTACTCTACTTTCCAATGAACAATATCACGTGACGAACAAGGAGATTCCCTGTCAGCAAAAAAAATCTATGGAACGCAATCAGTGTCATAATCTTATATGTTTTTGATGTATTTTAGCGATAAAAGATGAATTTTGGTTTATCAAATGAACTTCAAAAGAGTTATTGAGCACAGTTCTTGTAAATTAAGTTCAACTTACGTTGATTACTGGGTAGTATAGAGGATTTGTATACACGATTTTATTTTATTGTGTATTTATTTGTTTTGTTAAAAGTTTTGTGTATCACAAAATTATTAGTGTTATTTTTTTAATATTTTACAGGTTCAACTTAAAAGGCAGAAATACAAGTCGTATTCACCAACAAAACTGACTAATGCTTATCTGGATGTTATTGACAAGAAGCTTAGTGTTGCCAAGGCTGCAAGAAAGTATTGTCTTCCTGAACAGACACTAAGAGACCGTGTATTGGGCCACATCTCTATAGACAACGTTAAGTCTGGACCACCACCAGTGTTCGACTGTGAACAGGAGGCAAGATTGGTTCAGCACATAAAAGAAATGGGTGCAGTAGGATATGCATACACCAGAGGTGAAGTGGTGGATCTTGGATCTGAGTATGCTGTTCACATGGGTATAAAGACAAAAGACGACAAGCAGCTGTCATTGAGATGGTTTTACAGCTTCATGGGTAGATGGCCTGAACTAAAGGTATGGAGACCTAAAACCATCTCAGAACTTAGAGCAAAGGCAACCTCAAGGGCATCAATTTACAGGTACTTTGATGAACTTAACCGTATAATGGAAAAATATCAGCTAAAAGACAAGCCACAGAGTATATATAATGTTGATGAGAAGGGTTTACAACCAAACTATAAACCACCAAATGTTGTGGCCTCTGCAGAGTATGTACCCTCTACCTTGTCTTCAGAAAAAGGTCAAACAACAACTGTAATGGGATGTGGTAATGCCTTAGGACATCAAATTCCACCATATTTTATTTTCGCTGGTAAACGTATGAGACAGGAGTTGTTAGAAGGGGCCACACCTGGTGCTGATGGGTCTGTCAGTGAAACTGGATGGTCCAATTCAGAGATATTTCAGTCCTACCTGGAAAATCATTTCATTAAATACGTCACTGGTATGCAGGACAAACATATTCTTCTTCTGTATGATGGTCACAGGACTCACATAACACCAGATATCATTGATTGGGCAGTAGAGAAAAAAATTATCTTGTATGTTTTGCCTCCTCACACCAGCCATGTTCTTCAGCCCATGGATGTTGGTTGTTTTGGGCCTTTCGCAAGAATCTACAGTTCAGAATGTCATAAATTCCAACGTACCCATTCAGCAGTAATTAACAAATACAACTTGTGCTCTATTGCCTGCAAATCCTACAATTCTGCTCTTTCTCCTTCAAATTTGCAGTCTGCTTTCCGTAAATCTGGTATTTACCCGTTAGATAGAGATGCTATAGATCAGTCCTTGTTTTCTATTTCTGATGCTATTCATAGACAGAGCCAATCAGAGGAAAATACCAAAGTTGATGATGTCCCTGCCATTGAAAATGAAACAACAGAACCAGTTAATTTAATGTCTGATTCAGAGATCAATGCAGACACAGAACCTATATTATCAAACCAGGAAAATGAAAACATTCAGATTCATGTAGCTGAAAAAATTACTGACGAAAAACCAGATGAAAATATAACTTTCTTCACTGCAAAATCAACAAATTTGTCCAAGAAAAATCTACCAAAACAAGAAAGACGTTCCATCTACAAGATAGTAGCAGGAAAGGCAATTACAGAACCAGAGACACGTCAAGAAATAAAGGAGTACATTGCACAGTCAAAGTCAAGGACCAAGTCTAAAACAAACAATAAATCAACAAAACATAACATTAACCAAAATGCTAAGAAAACAACAACTAAACGTAAACAAAATGGTTCATCATCTTCTTCCAGTTCAACAACCACAAACAAGAAATTAAAGAAGAATCAACAAGATTCACAACAGCCAGGTCCATCAGGACTACACAAAATAGTTGTTTCTGACGGTTCAATTACAGATGAAGATGATCAAGATGATGATAACACATTGTGTTGTGTTTGTAACATGTGGCAGCCAAAGGAGTTACAGGATTGCATCTCCATTGTATTCACACAATGGGCCAAATGTGAATTTCTACAATGTGATCATTGGACTCATCTTAAATTTTGCTGTGATGTCTCCGTCCTACGCAGGTCAGATAAATTTTACTGCCCATGCCATGGCTTACCCTGCAAACAGAAAGAAACTGAAGAATAATGATAACGATATACATTTGATAATTGTTTGACCGTTTCCAGTTATTTATATTTAAAGACATTTACTGTTGCCAGTTCTTTATTAACAGTTGGAACACTTTTGAGTTGTGAACATTTGCTTGATTTTATAAATATGAACTTTATCTTCTGTGGAAAGAAATTAAATCATGATTCCAAAGGAAAAAATTGACTGAACTGTATCTTAAAGCACATTTTTTTTAATTAATGGTAAGTAAAAATAATTGTTATTAGCAACTTTTGATTTTATTTTGTTACTTATAATTTTAATAATTTTTTAAACGTTAAAAAAATTTTTTTTAATTTTTTTGGTGTTTCCATTTTTTATTTTTGTAAGGTTTTCAGTCTCAAAAAAATTAAAATTAAATACTTGGTCTTTAAAAACAATGTTTTTATTTTTACTGAACTGAACATGTACAAAAATATTATTGTATAAAATTACAATTTTATGCTCACCACTGGGCTTCCATACTCTGTTCTTCTTGTGTTATTTTTAGAACGAACTTTTCCCACGAAAATAGGTGACGTACTTGGCATCCAATGCCGATTTGTTTACACTAGAAATGTAGGTCATATCAAAGAAACTATGAAACGGAAAGAATCAAACTAACTTGTATTATTTTAATGAAGTTCTAAGGTAACATTATGGACATAAAAAACAAATGGCTATTTATTAGTTTTACCGCATTCCGTTTGAATAGTCTTGTATCCACGAATATAGGTGACACTACCGTACTAAAGTCGTAAACACCAAACATTGCAGCAAACTACGGACATGACATTCCATTTGACCAAAATCGTGTAATTCAAATACGAAAATCCGAATATAGAAAATAATATTATAACACTATATTTTGATTGCAGTGAAAATACGGATGAGGAAAAATAAATGATTTTGCTCCATACAAACATTTACGACAAATATGTCAGCGCCCATACAAAAAAAAAACAACATATTTTATGCAAATTTTAGAATAATCAACGTACATAAGGTACATCTTTCTAATTAAGATATACAAATTATTGAAGTTTAATTAAGAACATAGTTATTTTTATTGTATCGTCGAAATAATTTGCACAAAGTAGAAATAAGCTTCTAATGGTAATAGGACATATTGCACAATCACTTGAAAATCTTTCCTTATTGTTATGATCTGTTATGTTGATGAAATACACCAAACAGTATAAAAGATAAAGTAAGATAGTAAACTGACCAAAAGACAATAGTTAAACCATATCAAAAAGGGACCATGAAGACAATATCATTATCAAGGACAAGGTACAGCATGAAAAACAATTAACTACAAATGAACAATTTACACTGCACTGAGGCTACTAACTATCATGTGTTATAGTAGTCTCAAAATTATAGTAAACTTGTACCAACTTATTTAATTGCACTAAAAAAGGAGTAAAATGTTGAACTCAAATTCTTATTTAACTGATTAACTCATAAAAGACATGTCTTTATAAATAAGATTATTTGAAAGTCATGATTGTTCTTTGGCCAATTTGTTAAAGAAAACAAAGAGTAAGTTTGTTTTGATGATTTATTGTGTTGTGTCTAATTGTATCTTGACAAGTATTCATTATAAAGAAACAAAAAGTAAGTTTGGTTGTGATGCATTATTGTCCACAATTGCATCAACATATATAAAATTCAATAGGACAATAAATCACATATTTAAAAAAAGTTTAATTATTTTTATTGGCATGATAATAGAAAGAAATGTAAAGATAAAATAATAGAAAGAAATGTAAAGATAAAACACGAATCGGTTAACTAAGTCTATGATATAAGTACTAGTTAAGAAATTCAAGAAAATCTTTTAAAAATTTAATATATTTTTACATACCTGTAGATTTTGCCTAGAAATTCATAAACAAATTGTATATTGTTCACTATTTTAATGGTATAAGTTTATATTGGTAAGGCTTTGCAGTGGCTTGAGTTGACTGACTTCTTGTATTCTATATATGGACCTAAAAATGGAGTTTAAAACAGCCAAATTAGGACTTTGGAAAAAAAAACTCAAAATAAAATTGAGAATGGAAATGGGGATTGTAACAAAGAGACAACAACCCAACCAAAGAGCAGAACACTACAAACCATTGAAAGTCTGAAATGGCCTATATTTGCACACGACTGTACTGATTTTTACTCGACCAGTCTGAATTGGTCAGAAATTTACTTGATTATACTCGACTGTAGTCTGAACCATACTTAACAGTCTGAACTTGTACTCGACCACACTCGACCAGTACTTAACCATTTTATTTGCGTCTGAGCCATGCTCGACCTAGTCTGAACAATGCTCGACCTAGTCTGGACCATACTGGACATAGTCTGAACCATACTCGACCTAGTCTGAACCATACTCGACCTAGTCTGAACCATACTTGACCAAGTCTTAACCAACCTAGACATATTTTTTGTATCTATCTATTGTATTTCATCAATTTAGGAACTGTTTTTAACAGCTATTTCCCCTGGCTAGAAATTTGAACAACAATTTGAAATTTAAAATGTATTCAATATGGCATTGAAACCAAAATTTCACAATAAACATAATATAAATTCAACACCATATTCATCAACACTTACATATATATATATATATATCACCTTTAAAATAAAAATAAAACAAGCTGATCCAATAATCTCAAAACTGAATTGTGACTAATATTTTCAATGTTATTCAAAACTTTTTGAATGTTTCAGATATATTTTATGGTTACTGGACAATTTTCACCATTTACTTAAGCCTTGTATAGATTTATGGTGTCAGTTGAGTTTAGTTAATAATGCAGTGAACATTTTTTTTATTAAAATATATTTAGAATAGTATATAAAGCAACTTAATAAATTTAAAAGATCACACCTTTGTTTTGTAAAACCAAGAATTTAATATAATAATGATAATAGAACTTCAGTAGCAATCCTAGTTAAAAAGGAAATGTGTTCCAAAGTTGGTGAAAAAATTTATTTCAATTAAATTTAAATAACTTTTGTCAAAATTAAAGACATGGCATACAAGAAGAACTTTAATAAGGTTTAATTACCTCAGTACATGTGTGTTTTACAGGTAAAAAGAAAGCCCTATTTTTCTTAAACTCGTGTATTACTTATCTAGTGAATTCAAAAGGCCTTGTGATTTAAGTTTTACAGGATGTTGCAATTTTTACTGAATGTTAATTAGAAATTAATTCTCTCTGACCAGGTGTGATCTTTTTAATGAGTTTGCCCCAAGCAGGAGGTATTACTTTATACTTTACCACTATTCAAAAATTTTTTTTTATTTATTTCTTTAACTTTTTTATCCCTTTTTATACGACCGCAAAAAAATTTTTGTGGTCGTATGACGTTGGCGTCGTCGTCGTCCGGCGTCGTCATCGTCGTCGTCGTCATCGTCGTCGTCCGGCGTCGTCCGAAGACACATTGGTTTTCGCACTCTAACTTTAGTTTAAGTGAATGGATCTTTATGAAATTTTACCACAAGGTTCAATACCACTAAAGGAAGGTTGGGATTGATTTTGGGGGTTATGGTAATAACAGTAAAGGAATTAGGGGCCAAAAAGGGGCCAAAAATAAGCATTTTTGTAACTTCCAGACATAACTTGTGTGTTAGTGTATGGATCTCTCTGACATTGTACCACAAGGTTCCATATCACTTAAGGAATGCTGGGATTGATTTTGGGGGTAATTGCCTCCAAATTTTAGGAATTAGGGGCCAAAAAAGGGGCAAAAAACAAGCATTTTTCTAGTTTCATGACAATAACTTGTGTGTTAGTGTATGGATCTTTCTGAAATTGTACTACAAGGTTCCATATCACAAAGGGAAAGCTGGGTTTGAGTTTGGGGGTAATTGCCCTAAACGTTTAGGAATTTGGGGCCAAAAAGGGGCCAAAAAACACATTTTTTTCTAGTTTCCAGACAATAACTTGTGTTCAAGTGTATGGATCTCTCTGAAATTGTACTGCAAGGTACCATACCACAAAGGGAAGGCTGGGATTGAGTTTGGGGGTTCAAAAAATTTGGGGGGGGGGATTTATTTTTTTTTCCTTTTTTTTCTTTTTTTCCTTTTTTGTTTCTTTTAAAATTTTCCATTTTAAGTTGGTTATTTCTGATTTATATTTAAAATCAAATAATAATGATATGGTAGGAGATACACACCAAACAGGATGTGTAAATTATTATATAATAAGTATTGTGCAATAGCAAGAAATTTTCAATTGCACAGTATTGCACAATAGCAAGAAATCTTCAATTGCACAGTATTGCGCAATAGCAAGAAATCTTCAATTGCACAGTATTGCGCAATAGCAAGAAATATCCAATAGCACAATATTGCGCAATAGCAAGAAATTGTCAATTGTACAGTATTGCGCAATAGCAAGAAATATTTAATAGCACAGGATTGTGCAAAAGAAGATACTTCCTATAAATTGCTTATTTCTTGACCAATTTCAATGGGGTTTTATTCTTGATTTCATGGGGTTCTTTAATATGCTGAATCTAACCGTGTATTTAGTTTTTGGATTTTGGGCCCCGTTTTTAAATTGGTCCACATTGAGGTCCAAAGGGTCCAAAATTAAACTTTGTTTGATTTCATCAAAAATTGAATTATTGGGGTTCTTTGATATGCCGAATCTAACTGTGTATTTAGATTCTTAAATTTTGGTTCCGTTTTCAAATTGGTCTACATTAAGGTCCAAAGGGTCCAAAATTAAACTTAGTTTGATTTTAACAAAAATTGAATTCTTAGGGTTCTTTGATATGCTGAATCTAAACATGTATTTAGATTTTTGATTATGGGCCCAGTTTTCAAGTTGGTCCAAATCGGGGTCCAAAATTAAACTTTGTTTGATTTCAACAAAAATTGAATATATGGGGTTCTTTGATATGCTGAATCTAACCATGTATTTAGATTTTTGATTTTTGGGCCCCGTTATCAACTTTGTCCACATTGAGGTCAAAAGGGTCCAAAATTAAACTTTGTTTGATTTCATCAAAAATTGAATTATTGGGGTTCTTTGATATGCCGAATCTAACCGTGTATTAAGATTCTTAATTTTTGGTTCCGTTTTCAAATTGGTCTACATTAAGGTCCAAAGGGTCCAAAATTAAACTTAGTTTGATTTTATCATAAATTGAATTCTTAGGGTTCTTTGATATGCTGAATCTAAACATGTATTTGGATTTTTGATTATGGGCCCAGTTTTCAAGTTGGTCCAAATCGGGGTCCAAAATTAAACTTTGTTTGATTTCAACAAAAATTGAATATATTGGGTTCTTTGATATGCTGAATCTAACCATGTATTTAGATTTTTGATTTTTGGGCCCCGTTATCAACTTTGTCCACATTGAGGTCAAAAGGGTCCAAAATTAAACTTTGTTTGATTTCATCAAAAATTGAATTCTTGGGGTTCTTTGATATGCTGAATCTAACCATGTATTTAGATTTTGGATATTGGACCATAATAGGTGTATGTCCAATTTAAAATTTTTAAGTTCTTAGACCACATTCAATCTGTGTTAGAAACCTATGCTGTGTCAAATATTTAATCACAATCCAAATCCAAAGCTGTATCAAGCTTGAATGTTGTGTCCATACTTCCCCCAACTGTTCAGGGTTCGACCTCTGCGGTCGTATCAAGCTGCGCCCTGCGGAGCATTTTATTGATATATATTATATATCCCAAATTATAATAAGAATAGATATATTTCTAATATAAGGTTAAACAATTTCAGTGATTTTTTGGCTGTTGTTAACTCATTAAAAAGATAATTATATAACTATTGTATGTAACCATAAAACCTATGTAGTTTTTCTTTAGGAATTTAGGAAAATTAAGTTTAAAAAAAAAAAAAAACACATGCCAACAAAGAAGCACCTTAATAAGGTTTTATTACCCTCAGTAAAGGTGTGGTTTTTAGGTAAAAGAATCTTTTTTTTTAACAAAACTCTTAAACTTAAAATTAATATAATTAAATTATTATATAAGATGATTTGATTTAACTATCTCTATTTGATAAATCTGAGAATCATGTAAGGATGTAAAAATATGTTTTTATATATATCTTTATTTTATTGTGTCTGTTATCATGTCAGAAAAAAAGAAATTAATTTTAACAGCTAAAATTAAAAAAAAGTAGAGGTTATTTGGTCAAATATGGTTCAGACTGGTCGAGTATTGTTCAGACCTTTGGTCGAGTATGGTTTAGACTGAAAAAATAGGTCGAGTACAGGTCGAGAATGGGTTAAGACTGTTTCAGACTGATCGAGTAATAGTTTAGCCTATTTTCAATGGCAAAGATAAGGGTCAAGTACAAATCAGTACGGTCGAGTATGGTTAAGACTTGGGTCGAGTAATGTCGAGTAAAATTCAGACCAATTCAGACTGGTCGAGTAAAAATATATATACTCCGAAACATATAAATTGATTTTTATAAAAAAAAAATCTTTTTTTTTTAGACCCTTACAAACTTTAAGTTGTAAATTACAAAATGAGTGTATTGATGCCATCATAGGTATCCAGAAACATTTTTTTTTGTCTTAATGATATTTATAGGTTTCATATAACAGTGAGAATTGGATATCACTTGATATCAACTCAAGTTATTTAATTTCAATATGAAAATAAAAGAGCCTTCCACAAGTTTATAATTACTTTTTAAATTAAATAACGAGAGTAGATGTCAAGCAATATCCAATTCTAACAAGTTGTTAAACCTATTTCTCTAATGGTACATACCAGTATGATGTCATATGTCCTTTTCTGGCGTCTAACTTTAACATAAGACATTTTAAAACTTTTTGTACGCTTCAGAATGTAATAAATTATGACAAAAAGAAGATTTTCAGATGAAAAGTTTGAGTATGTCGTATATTATTGAAGAAATCACATATGTCCATTGCCATGGACGAAATGTACATCGTCTTAACCTCTGAAAGTCATTAATGACCTTACGAGAACCCAATGGAAATGTTGTAATATTGTCTCATGATGATGGATAAGCCAATCAAATTTATGCAGTTTTCATATAACTTTTTCAGAAATATTTCTTAATGCAAGAAATAGATAACAACCACAACCATAATATATCTGTGATTTATAAATTCTTCATTTTTAGTCCCCTACCGACGAAGTCGAAGGGGACTTTAGGTTTTCACTCTGTCCGTCTGTTCGCCCGTCTGTCCATCCGTCAGTCCGGCAACTCGGCTTTCCACACTTTTTATATGACCGCCAAAAAATTTTTGTGGTCGTATATTGGTATGACGTTGGCGTCGTCGTCGTCGTCCGAAGACGCATTAGTTTTCGCACTCTAACTTGAGTTTAAGTGAATGGATCTCTGTGAAATTTTACAATAAGGTTCAATACCACAAAAGGAAGGTGGGGATTGATTTTGGGGGTTATGGTACCAATAGTTAAGGAATTAGGGGCCAAAAAGGGGCCAAAAATAAGCATTTTCTAGTTTCCAGACAATAACTGTGGAACGGTGTATGGATCTCTCTGAAATTATACTACAAGTTTCCATACCACAAAGGGATGATTAGGATTTGCTTTGGGGGGTTATGGCTCAAACCGTTTAAGAATAAGGGGCAAAAAAGGGGGAAAAACAAGGTTGTCCTGGTTAATGGACAAATACTTTAGTACAAAACATAATTTAAAGCAGTGTAAGGGAGATAAATCAAATACATCATTGAAATTATCTCCCTTACACTGCTTTTAAATTATGTATAAAGTAATGGTTAATGAACAATAAAGATAATTTAAAACAGTGTAAGGGAGGTAATCCAAATTCAACGTTTTGGTTACTTCCCTTACACTGCTTTTAAATTATGTTTAAAGAAATGCATATTTATAAAGGAAGACCAGTAAAAATATCTGCAAATGTTGCATCTTTTTTTTTTACAATAAATCCATATGAAAGATTTGACACTATATTTTAAATTCTATTATAAAATAGATTAAGTTAGCACTATGGTAAATTTAAATGGGTAATTATGGTTGCAAACTCCATTGGAAATTTGAATTGAGATTATGACCATATCTTGAGGGAAAGAATTTTTTGGGGAAAAAAAAGGGGGGGGGGGTTAAAAGAAATTGTGGGGGGTCAATTTTTTCTCATTTCAGATTTCAGAAATTAAAAAGAATTATTCTTCAAATATTATTTTTTTTTCAAATTTCAAATATTGAAAAATTTCAAGAAGTAATCTTTAATTGCACAATATGGCGCATTAGATTTGTAAAATCTTTGACCACATTTATTTATTTGTTATGCCGAATCTAACCGTGTATTTAGATTTTTAATTTTGGGTCCAGTTTTCAAATTGGTCTACATTTAGGTCCAAAGGGTCCAAAATTAAACTTTGTTTGATTTTAACAAAAAATGAATATATGGGGTTCTTTGATATGCTGAATCTAAACATGTATTTAGATTTTTTATTTTTGGCCCAGTTTTCAAGTTGGTCCAAATTGGGGTCCAAAATTAAACTTTGTTTGATTTCAACAAAAATTGAATATATGGGGTTCTTTGATATGCTGAATCTAACCATGTATTTAGATTTTTTATTTGTGGACCCCGCTATCAAATTGGTTCATATTGAGGTCAAAAGGGTCCAAAATAAAACTTTGTTTGATTTCATCAAAAATTGAATTATTGGGGTTCTTTGATATGCCAAATCTAACCGTGTATTTAGATTTTTAGTTTTGGGTCCTGTTTTTAAATTGGTCTACATTAAGGTCCAAAGGGTCCAAAATTAAACTTAGTTTGATTTTAACAAAAATTGAATTTTTGGGGATCTTTGATATGCTGAATTTAAACATGTGTTTAGATTTTTGATTATGGGCCCAGTTTTCAAGTTGTTCCAAGTTGGGGTCCAAAATTAAACTTTGTTTGATTTCAACAAAAAATTAATATATGGGGTTCTTTGATATGCTGAATCTAAACATGTATTTAGATTTTAGATTTTTGGCCCAGTTTTCAAGTTGGTCCAAATTGGGGTCCAAAATTAAACTTTGTTTGATTTCAACAAAAATTGAATATATGGGGTTCTTTGATATGCTGAATCTTACCATGTATTTAGATTTTTTATTTGTGGGCCCGCTATCAAATTGGTTCATATTGAGGTCAAAAGGGTCCAAAAAATTAAACTTTGTTTGATTTCATCAAAAATTGAATTATTGGGGTTCTTTGATATGCCAAATCTAACCGTGTTTTTAGATTTTTAATTTTGGGTCCCGTTTTTTAAATTGGTCTACATTAAGGTCCAAAGGGTCCTAAAATTAAACTTAGTTTGATTTTAACAAAAATTGAATTCTTGGGGTACTTTGATATGCTGAATCTAAACATGTGTTTAGATTTTTTATTATGGGCCCAGTTTTCAAGTTGGTCCAAGTTGGGGTCCAAAATTAAACTTTGTTTGATTTCAACAAAAATTGAATATATGGGGTTCTTTGATATGCTGAATCTAACCATGTATTTAGATTTTAGATTTTTGGCCCAGTTTTCAAGTTGGTCCAAATTGGGGTCCAAAATTAAACTTTGTTTGATTTCAACAAAAATTGAATATATGGGGTTCTTTGATATGCTGAATCTTACCATGTATTTAGATTTTTATTTGTGGGCCCGCTATCAAATTGGTTCATATTGAGGTCAAAAGGGTCCAAAATTAAACTTTGTTTGATTTCATCAAAAATTGAATTATTGGGGTTCTTTGATATGCCAAATCTAACCGTGTTTTTAGATTTTTAATTTTGGGTCCCGTTTTTTAAATTGGTCTACATTAAGGTCCAAAGGGTCCAAAATTAAACTTAGTTTGATTTTAACAAAAATTGAATTCTTGGGGTACTTTGATATGCTGAATCTAAACATGTGTTTAGATTTTTGATTATGGGACCAGTTTTCAAGTTGGTCCAAGTTGGGGTCCAAAATTAAACTTTGTTTGATTTCAACAAAAATTGAATATATGGGGTTCTTTGATATGCTGAATCTAACCATGTATTTTGATTTTGGACATTGGACCATAATAGGCAAATTAAAAAAATTGAAGTTCTTAGACCACATTCTTTCTGTGTCAGAAACCTATGCTGTGTCAAATATTTAATCACAATCCAAATTCAGAGCTGTATCAAGCTTGAATGTTGTGTCCATACTTGCCCCAACTGTTCAGGGTTCGACCTCTGCGGTCGTATCAAGCTGCGCCCAGCGAAGCATTTTATTTTCTTCGTTCTTGAAGATATTGATATGATATTTGGTAAATAGTTTTATCATAACAAGTAATAGATCAAGTTCGAATTTTGTTCCGGTCTGGTGATTTAGTCCAGAGTTATGGTCCATGAAAAAACTCCATAACTAATGTTAGAGTACTATGTTAAACCATATAATCTGTACAAAGGGAGATAACTCATTTTTTAAAAGACATTCTTTGGTAAATTGTTTGAGGAATTTTGTGGCAGGTTTATATGTTATTTTGTATAAACTAGTTTTCTGAATGCTACATGTATATATATATATATATATATTTTTATTAAGTGGAATCCTTTAATTAGATAATAATCTATTTTTATTAAGGTATATATTTCATTACCTTACATTGTGTAGATAAAAGTTGTTGATATTTTATAGGTAAGTTACAAATCTATATTAGTTTGTGACAAATTAAAGAAAAAATATTTGGAACTATTGATTATATTTGATTGTAATTTGAAAATAGATATACATTGTATTACATCATATCTAATGTTAGAGTGTTATAGGTTTTCCACACTTTTTTTCATCATGCTTGAAGATATTGATTGCTAATTGGTAAATAGTTTTATCATGACAAGTTACAGATCAAGTTCAAATTTTTGTTTCGGTCTGATAATTTTGTACAGAGTTATGGTCCTTGGACTTGAAAAAATTCACTCATATATTCAGTTTTCCACACTGTTTTTAGTCATGCTTGAAGATATTGACTTGATATTTTCTTTTTGTTTACACCATGACAAGTTATAGAACAAGTTAGCATTTTGTTCCAGTATAATGAATTTTTACCCGGTAGGGGACTATGTATTGCCATGCAATACTCTCAGAATGCTTGTCGTAATAGTTTTCACTTACCCTTCCTTCCATGTATATAATTTGCCATTACACTTTCAGATTTGGTTTTGATCAGTCCAACACAGCAAAGAATATGGATTCAACAACAACTTCCCCAAAGAAACTGCAGAAGAAAAGGACTCAGCAATACTCGATGTGTTTTCTATACAACACTGGAGAAGCAATTGCAAAGTTAACAGGACTGACTGTAGCTACATGTAATCCTTCTACAGAAAAAGGCAAAGCAACTGAAGAGACAAAGGAGACAACAGGTAAATATGTCAGAATGAGTAATTCAGTTTTAAAAAACAAACTCTTTCAATAAGGAGGAAAATTCTTTTCTCATTACAAGGATATTTAAAGTATTAAAATGAAATGAATAAAGGTGCCACAACAAAAATAAAAAATTGTAAGTTTTACTTTATCAAATTTTGATTCCAGTTTTTTTTAGTACCCTTTCCTGCAATTAGTTAGTAGTCAGATTTTGGATTGTTCCTATGTATAGGTTCAGAGCTAAAAGAGATGGCACAACTAAAAATAATCTCTGTAAACATTGTACATAGAAGTTTAATTTTAACCCAATTTTCATTGACTTTCTATAAGAGATATTAGGTAATGGTCAATGACACAGTAACCCAACAGCACAAGTACATGTAAGGACACAACAATCCGACACAGAAAAAATGAATATCACTAGTACCATAGTAACAAATTTGTGCTTGACAGAGTTATGTGCTGTACACAATTGATTTCATTTTATGTACCATGTTAAATTACAATTTGCCCCCTTTAAAATGAGTAAACTGTGTATTATGTAAAAGTTAAATTTTTAACCCTTTGAACCCTACTCTAAAAGTGCTATTATAACTAATAGAGTAAAATTTTGTACATTCAGTATAATTATCTCACCTTGAATTGAACAAGTTTTTTAAATGTGAATACATGGCGAAATCACTTTATTTCAATTTTAATCATTAGTAAGTGAAACATTGTAGTTGTCTCTTTGACACATTCACTGTTTCCATTCCCTATTCTAATGCAATTATTTTGTATCAATGGTTCTGATTGGATGACAGTAAGCGTAAAATTTTGAATACCAGAATGTATTGACATGTAATTTCTCTAATAATAAGCAAAAAAACTCACATTTTGCATCTGGAAATCTAATTTTCATCAAATTTTATTACATTCTGAGGCGGCCAAGAAGCCAGAAAGCGCCTGCTGTTTACTTTTGACACCAGAAACATACCTATGACATCACCTAGTTAAGGAGCCAAAGAAGATAACATCATTTTGGGGAATTTTCGTTTAATGAAAATTTTACACTGAAATAGTGACTAAAATTGAATTATGTATTTATTTTGCATTGGAATAGAGATAAATACGTGTCGCCAGGTAAACTCAATTTACGACAGTATTCTACCAATGGACGTCTGCAAAGCTTTAAATACAATGCAGTTATCTCTTAATTCTAATATTTATGCCCCCACCGTAGCGGAAGGGCATTAAGGTTTACCCTTATATGTCTGTACGTCCATTCTTATGTCTGTACGTCCCGAAATTGGTTTCCGTTCTCTAACTTTAGTTTGCTTCAACCAAATGTTATGAAACTGATACACAAAGCTTATTACCACTAAACACAGATCAAGATTGAATTTGGGTGATGTCACTTTGACCATTCCTGAGTTATCCCCTTTATAAACGGAAAAATTGCTGAATTTTTTCGTTTTCGTTCTCTAACTTTAGTTTGCCTCAACCAAATGTTATGAAACTTATACACAATGCTTATTACCATAAAACTCTAATCAAGTTTCGAATTTGGGTGGCATCACTTTTGCAGTTCTCTAGTTATGTCCCTTTATAATGTTTTATGCAAGCGAGGGTATCATCTGTGTCCCATGGACACATTCTCCATTTATTCTTTAATAAATATTTATCTTGAAGAATGTGATTATAGATTTTAAAGCATTGAATTTCTAAAAAAATATTAAATTTACAGTTTGAATGCTATGGTTGTAAAATAAAAAAGGCACATAATACCTCTTGTTTGCCCCAATATTTACACAGTTGGATACTCATTTTTACAATGTTTATCTACCTGAAATAAAAAGTGATAGATATTTAATAAAAAAAAATCAGGAAAAATTAGAGTTATAGTTTAGTTTTAGAATGATTATTAGATTTATTGTTTGCTTTGGACTGTTATTCCATGAAATTGCAATCATCAGTCTATTTGCATATTAAATCTATTTTTTATTTCAGTGCAACAACGACCAGATTTTACAACAGTATCAGAAAAAATGTCCTGTAATTACTGTGTAGTTGACTTTGAATCAAGAGGAGAACAGGTGACTACATTTATTTTACAATCAGTTTTTTACGTAGATTTCATATACATTGTATTTTTGGACTGATAGTTTCTGATGTACACAAAATTTGTTTATTGGGAGCTCTTTTATGTATGTACAATGTACATATTTGAAAGTTGTTGTTCAGATGTCCATTACTTCCTGACAATTACATATGAATATATATGATATAGGTAATTTATGCTTTTTAGATATATATATATGTACATGTGTTGTGTAATTTGATTAACACTGAAAATATTCACTGTACATAACATTTAGATGTCTACTTAAGGATGTTCGCTCCTCTTGTTTTTGAATTTTTGCCAAATTTTCGGAATCCTCTGGTTTTATCTATGTAGTGCCATTAAAAAATTTCCCCGCTAACCCCTACTTTTCTTTTCATAATTTTATTACATATAGTTTAAAAAGCCATATTTGAAAATGCTATAAAATCCTTGTTATTTTTTCATAACTTTTGAAAGAAAAAGGGTGCCAATGTTAAATGTACGAAAAGTCCAGAGAGAATTATTTCCCGCCAAATTTTCAATGGCTAATATCTCGAAAACAAGCACACGGACCCTTTATTTTTTTCTGCTTTTTTAGTTCCTTTATTTATATACTATCAATTTATAACAGTCTTTTAAAAAGCTTATTATTTTGAAACAGAGTAGCTAACATCCTTAAAGGAATATTATATCATAAGCCATTTGATTTCAAATGTTAGTGCTCAATCATTCAAATGTACTTCAGATACTGAGATAATGTTATACATATATGCGAGTTACTTCTAGTGATGACTATACCATTATACAGACCTATATGTACATTGCAGCTGAAAGTATTTAGGATTCACCTCAATATAAAATGATAACAATTATTAAAACTGTCACATGGTTTTGTAGTGACATTATATGCTACTAAATCAAAGAGTGGACTGTATCTACATGTATAATTACAAAATCAACACAAATGCCACTATCTACCATGTGACATTAATGTAGGATTGAAATCTCTAAATCAAAAATCACAGACAAAAGTTACGGTTAAACCATTTTTTATATAAAAAGGATGCACAAAATGTGAAGTGGTTTCTTAATACAACTATGTTTTTGTCATAGATAGTTTTCCGATCCTTACTAAATTGTAGTAATAAATTATACAAGACATAAACAAATTGAAATTGTTTAGAAAACAAATTTTTCTTAAGTCTTGTAATTTATTCATGAGGAACATATTACAGTCCTGATTAGAGTTGTTAAAGGCCTGTCAAATATGCCTTATTCTAAACCTGTGTGGTTAATTAAAAGATTTTATATAAATGTATTGTGTTAACCTTGTATAACAGTATATTCCTGTGCAGAAAAGCACTTCTAGGTATGTCATTTATGACGATTTTTATATTGAATATAACTTTTACTATGTATTTGTTTATTTATGTTTCTTTTATGCAAATAAATAATATATACACCATTTATTTTCAGAGAAGACATTACAAATCAGACTGGCACAGATACAATCTGAGACAAAGATTAAAGGGAGTAAACTATGTAAACGAAGACAAGTTTGAAGAGCTTTCAGGTATAGAAAAGCATTTTGAAATTTTTCATAAATGATCTCATGCCACAGATAACAGTATAATTTTAAATCCCCTATTATTGGTGCATCCCCCTGGTTATTATACCAAACAGACTGCTCAGTGTTTTTTTATGTCCCACCTACGATAGTAGAGGGGCATTATGTTTTTCGGTCTGTGAGTCCGTTTGTTTGTCCTTTCGTTCGTCCGTCCATTTGTTTGTCCGTCTGTCCCACTTCAGGTTAAAGTTTTTGGTCAAGGTAGTTTTTGATGAAGTTGAAGTCCAATCAACTTGAAACTTTGTACACATGTTCCCTATGATATGATCTTTCTAACTTTAATGCCAAATTAGAGTTTTGACCCCAATTTCATGGTCCACTGAACATAGAAGTGATAGTGCGAGTGGGGCATCCTTGTACTATGGACACATTCTTGTTTTTGTTATATTTAAGTTTCATATTTGAAGATTGAAACAAAGGAACAAAATAGTATTTTTCCTTATATGTGTAATGCTAGCTATTACATTTATCTTCATATTAGCTTTCCTATATAAAGAGGGAGCTTAAAGAATTGTGTTTTGGTCACTCAGTTGGTAGCTAACCTGTGTAGAATACATATTGTTTGTTTTAATTTTATAACATATGGGCTCGATAGGCAAATTTTGATTTCTGTATACATGTCAAACTGGTTTAACCCCATCACATTATGTGCCTGTACCAAGTCAGGCCATGTGTTGTGTTTGATGTGGTATCTTGTACTGTCCTATATTTTTGATACATGCATTTCCTGTTATCTGTTTTATGTATGTAAAGTATCTTTCAATATACAACAAGGTATGTGGTCTTGAAAATCATAATTTGTGTTTGCTTTGTTTGCTTTGTTTGCTTTGTTTGGATGTTTTATTTTTTAAAGCACAGCTTTCACAATTCTCAGGTTTAGTATCCATTCTAACTCATTAGCAACAAAATATTCATGTTAATGTATGAAACATGATATATGTAGATATAAGAAGATGTGGTATGAGTGCCAATTAGACAACTCTCCATCCAAGTCAAAATTTATAAAAGTAAACCATTATAGGTCAAAGTACAGTCTTCAACACGGAGCCTTGGCTCACACCGAACAGCAAGCTATAAAGGGCCCCAAAAATTACTAGTGTAAAACCATTCAAACGGGAAAACCAACAGTCTAATCTATATAAAAAACGAGAAACGAGAAACACTTATGAACCACATCAACAAACGACAACTACTGAACATCAGATTCCTGACTTAGGACAGGTGCAAACAATTGCAGCGGGTTTAAACTTTTTAATGGTACCAAACCTTCACCCTTTTTCCGAAACAATAATATATCATCACAACATAGAAAGACACACTATAAAATATCAACTGAAATAGCTTAACTCAATCAAAGGACATATTAACACCAGTGAACATACACTGAACAAATAAATGTGTTTGCATGTGGATTTTAACTATTGATTCTTATAAGCTATGTTATCAATTGACCCAAGTTTGGATTCTAGAGGGTGTTTTGAGTGCACCTTGAGAATGCAAATGATTATAGAAAACATTACTTTCATTTTACACATTTCTTTTTATTAGTTTTATTTTATTGGTTGAATTGCATTAACAATATTTGGTAAAGTGCTATAAAAAAGTTTTTCTATGAACTTTGTATCTGTCATCTCCAATTGATCTGAATAACACCTCTTCATTTGTGAAAAAAACACTAAGATAGCCAAGTGAACCTTGCTGGCTCCTTGAAGTCTATGAATAATGTCTGAGTATAAGAATTATAATCATATTAAATGCAAAGATTCAATATATGTTTACAGGAAATATATCCAGTATATCAGGCTCAGAGTCTGACAGTGATGATGATGACAACCATGCTACAAGTAAACCTGTTAGTATTGCTGCCAGATTCCAGAGGAAACTAGAAGTTGTAGGAACAGGAAGTAGTACAGACAGTGAATCTGAGGACAGTACAATGGACGACAGAGCTCGCAAATACCCAAAGATATTCCTGAAAAATTCACTGGGTGACCTCATATCACTATATAGATGTGTTGTGTGCCACAAACAAGTAAGATAGCATACCTTATAATGTTTTAGAACCTAGGAGATTCCCTGTTCCCATTTTTTTAACAGATTTGTAATGTGTTCATACTTCCTTACCTTGTGATTTTCTTTAATTGATGCATTTGATATTTTATTACATATTCATGTATGACAGAATGCAAATAAAAAATGTGAAATCTGATAATAACAATTCTTATTTAGGTTATTCCAACTAGCCATTCAGATTTAATATCCATGGTAACAGACACTCCTCTGAATATGAAGTGGGCAGTCCTAATGTCAAGTGGAGGTCATTTTGCTGGAGCAATATATGATAGGTATGAAATAAACATATACTTTCAATATACAATACAACATATATAGAGTGAGACAATTTGAATAATTATTACGTTATAGATAATGCATATTTTAAGGTCTTTCTTGTGGTATAACACACCGAGGGGTGTCAGGATTGATCAAATGAAAGACCGAGAGGAAGTCTTTCTTTGGGCAATCCTGACACCCCGAGGTGTGTTATACGACAAGAAAAACCTTAAAATATGCATTATCTGACTTATATACCGTAAAAAAATATTATTTTCTGCAAAGATTTGCAAGATTTCCATCTTATTTTACCAACCACACTAAAGTGGGATATTCTTTTCTGATCCGAACTGGTTTTAATACGCCCTACGGCTCATTTGAAACGTGAAATAAAACTCACTAATTAATCTAGATATAAGCTTTAGCATTCATTATCCAGTTACAAAAGAAATATCACTAAATGCATGAAGCAAGACACAATTGAATTGTTACAGTGTATGAAAAATACCCCCCCCCCAAAAAAAAAAAAAAAAAATCCATAGGTAAATGTATGATTTCCAATACAGTGTGACTCAAAATCCTACACATGAATTTGTTAAATCTGGATTGTTTTATTAGTGTTATGAAGGGTTTTGCATTATCAAATTCATCTCAAATATTGTCCCTTTATTGTAGCGATAAATTAACAAAATTTCACATTATTTGTTTCGGACGTTAAAATGTGCGTCCACAACTTTTTTTGTGTAATTCAGTATAAAAATAGATGACAGGATTGTTTATGTCTTTATCCATAGCATGCGATACTATCAAACGAATTAAATGTTTAGGTAAATTATAGTTTGCATTTTAATCAAGGAAAAAAATGACCTTACACAGGTCATTATTTTCTGCCTTGAAGCAAATTTCATTGAAGCTTGGTATCGTCCGGGTTGATTCTTCAAAAGAAAGACCTGACATTCTGAAAGAAAATAACTCAACATAGGTATATAAAATACTTTAAAAGAATCAAAATACATGTATAATAGAAAATTGAAATCCCTGCATGAAAAAAATACCCTGCACTTGTTAATTAGACGTAAAAAAACCAACAGGCTTATTGACATGCAACTTGCATGGTATTGCAAATTACTGAAAAATAATCTAAAGGGCTTTTTAACCTACATTGCCCAGCTTACCAGCTTCAACTAATGCCATTCCATATCAACCACTGTTTTCAACAAAAAAATGTCCTGTTCTATACCCAATGTCAACAAAAAAATGGCCTGTTCTGTACCCAATGAAGTTTTCCAACTGATTTCAATGATACAAAAATAGAATATAAGGAAAAGATATCACTATTGATTTTGTGCAGTTTCAGAGCCCATTTGGACCCAATGTTATAGCGAAAATGTTTGTGTATTGTTACCTTTTATGCCTTACACTTGTCAAAGTAGACTACCCTTAAATTATACTTCATGAATCAGTGAAATAAACACCCATGATTTAGTATATATTAGAATTGAAGCTATTCTTAGATTTTGAACCATTTTCATATTAAAGAATGACTCCTTACATTTTCATTGTAATGAAAAAATACCAAAGGATTTGTTATACCTATGCTGTTTTATTATAGGGATAAAATTATAGCCCATAAAACATTTCATCGCTATGTTGTAAGAGCTAAGCGTGGTACAGCACAGAGTAGTAGAGATAGTCAGGGTAATGCTCCCAAATCTGCTGGTGCTGCTCTTAGAAGATATAATGAGGCTGCTTTACAAGAGGTAAGGAACAACATAAAATACCGTACATCTGAATCTATTGTCAGTTTATTGGAAAAAGTCTGTATTTCATCATTCAAAGTTACTATTTTCATACCTTTCGTATTTTGAATTTTGAAAAAATCTTCCTTTTTGCCTATTTTTTTATGAAAATAATTGTGATTGCTAAATGCTGAACCCTGTTTCTTAAAATAGTGTTAGATGTTCTTTAATATTTTGAATTTCAAAAAGAATTGCCTTTTTTCTTATTTTTATGCCCCCACCGTAGCGGAGGGGGCATTGAGTTTTACCCTTGTCTGTCTGTACGTACGTCCGTACGTCCCAAAGTTGGTTTCCGTTCTCTAACTTTAGTTTGCTTCAACCAAATGTTATGAAACTTATACACAGTGCTTATTACCACAAAATACAGATCAAGTTTGAATTTTTGGTGTTGTCTCTTTTACTGTTCTAGAGTTATGCCCCTTTATAACTTTATATTATATGCAATTGGGGGCATCATCTGTGTCCCATGTACACATTCCCCATTTATTTTTATGCCGTAGCGGTGGTGGCATTCAGTTTTACCCTTGTCCGTCTGTACGTACGTACGTACATCCCAAAATTGGTTTCCGTTCTCTAACTTGAGTTTGCTTCAACCAAATGTTATGAAAATTATACACAATGCTTATTACCACAAAACCCAGATCAAGTTTGAATTTTGGTGGCGTCACTGTAACCGTTCTAGAGTTATGCCTCTTTATAAATGGAAAAATTGCCAAATTTTTAGTTTCCATTCTCTAACTTAAGTTTGCCTCATCCAAATGTTATGAAACTTATACACAATGCTTATTACCACAAAACACAGATCAAGTTTGAATTTTGGTGGCGTCACTTTATCCGTTCTAGAGTTATGCCCTTTATAAATGGAAAAATTGCAAATTTTTTAGTTTCCGTTCTCTAACTTAAGTTTGCCTCAACCAAATGTTATGAAACTTATACACAATGCTAATTACAACAAAACACAGATCAAGTTTGAATTTTGGTGGCGTCATTTTAACAGTTCTAGAGTTATGTCTCTTTATAAATAATTTAATTTTGGATGTAACACGTCTTCTGATTGGCTGACGTTGTTTTGTTTATCAGCTCATAGACATAATTTTGTCATGTGACCGTGACGTCATCAACGTTTTTTCATGGTTTACTACGGTTTAAAATGGAATTTAGAATTAAATTATAAGAAATGACTGTAATATTTTTTCTGTCTATTCGAAATAACATAAAAAATGTGGTGCACACTTTAAAATAACTCGCTACGCGGGTTATTCAGTGTGCACCACATTTTTGATGTTATTTCTTCATAGACAGAAAAAATATTACAGTCATTCCTTAAATGGAAAAATTGCAAAATTTTTAGTTTCCGTATCTAACTTTAGTTTGACTCATCCAAATGTTATGAAACTTATACACAATGCTTATTACCACAAAACACAGATCAAGTTTGAATTTTGGTGGCGTCACTTTATCCGTTCTAGAGTTATGCCCTTTATAAATGGAAAAATTGCAAAATTTTTATTTTCTTCTAAATATCAAGTAATTTTTATACGACCGCAAAAAAATTTTGTGGTTGTATATTGGTATGACGTTGGCGTCATCGTCGTCGTCCGGCATCATCGTCCGAAGACACATTGGTTGTCGCACTCTAACTTTAGTTTAAGTGAATGGATCTTTTTGAAATTTGACCATAAGGTTAAATACCACAAAAGGAAGGTTGGGATTGATTTTGTGGGTTATGGTACCAACAGTTAAGGAATAAGGGGCCAAAAAGGGGCCAAAAATAAGCATTTTCTAGTTTCCAGACAATAACTGTGGAACGGTGTATGGATCTCTCTGAAATTATACTACAAGTTTCCATACCACAAAGGGATGGTTAGGATTTGCTTTGGGGGGTTATGGCTCAAACTGTTTAGGAATTAGGGGCAAAAAAGGGGGAAAAACAAGGTTGTCCTGGTTAATGGACAAATACTTTAGTACAAAACATAATTTAAAGCAGTGTAAGGGAGATAAATCAAATACATCATTGAAATTATCTCCCTTACACTGCTTTTAAATTATGTATAAAGTAATGGTTAATGAACAATAAAGATAATTTAAAACAGTGTAAGGGAGGTAATCGGAATACAACGTTTTGGTTACTTCCCTTACACTGCTTTTAAATTATGTTTAAAGAAATACATATTTATAAAGGAAGACCAGTAAAAATATCTGCAAATGTTGCATCTTTTTTTTTTACAAAAAAATCCATATGAAAGATTTGACACTATATTTTTAATTCTATTATAAAATAGATTAAGTTAGCACTATGGTAAATTTAAATGGGTAATTATGGTTGCCAACTCCATTGGAAATTTGAATTGAGATTATGACCATATCTTGAGGGAAAGAATTTTTTTGGGCAAAAAAGGGGGGGGGGGATAAAAAGAAATTGTGGGGGGTCAATTTTTTCTCATTTCAGATTTCAGAAATTAAAAAGAATTATTCTTCAAAAATTATTTTTTTTTCAAATTTCAAATATTGAAAAATTTCAAGAAGTAATCTTTAATTGCACAGTATGGCGCATTAGATTTGTAAAATCTTTGATCACATTTATTTATTTGTTATGCCGAATCTAACAGTGTATTTAGATTTTTAATTTTGGGTCCAGTTTTCAAATTGGTCTACATTAAGGTCCAAAGGGTCCAAAATTAAACTTTGTTTGATTTTAGCAAAAATTGAATACATGAGGTTCTTTGATATGCTGAATCTAAACATGTATTAAGATTTTTATACGACCGCAAAAATTAAAAATTTTTTGGTCGTATATTGGTATGACGTTGGCGTCGTCGTCGTCGTCGTCGTCCGGCGTCGTCCGAAGACACATTCGTTTTCGCACTCTAACTTTAGTTTAAGTGAATGGATCTCCATGAAATTTCACCATAAGGTTCAATACAACGAAAGGAAGGTTGGGATTGATATTGGGGGTTATGGTACCAACAGTTAAGGAATTAGGGGCCAAAAATAAGCATTTTTGTAACTTTCAGACAATAACTTGTGTGTAAGTGTATGGATCTCTCTGACATTGTACCACAAGGTTCCATATCACAAAGGGAAGGCTGTAATTGATTTTGGGGGTAATTGCCTCAAAATTTTAGGAATTAGGGGCCAAAAAAGGGGCAAAAAACAAGCATTTTTCTAGTTTCATGACAATAACTTGTGTGTAAGTGTTTGGATATTTCTGAAATTGTACTACAAGGTTCCATATCACAAAAGGAAAGCTGGAATTGAGTTTGGGGGTAATTGCCCGAAACGTTTAGGAATTGGGGGCCAAAAAGGGGCCAAAAATAAGCATTTTTCTAGTTTCCAGACAATAACTTGTGTTCAAGTGTATGGATCTCTCTGAAATTGTACTGCAAGGTACCATACCACAAAGGGAAGGCTGGGATTGAGTTTGGGGGTGATGAATCATAAGGGGGTTCAAAAAATTTGGGGGGGGGATTTTTTTTTTTTTTTTTTTTCTTTTTTTCCTTTTTTTTTTCTTTTAAAATTTTCCATTTTAAGTTGGTTATTTCTGATTTATATTTAAAAGCAAATAATAATGATATGGTAGGAGATACACACCAAACAGGATGTGTAAATTATTATATAATAAGTATTGTGCAATAGCAAGAAATTTTCAATTGCACAGTATTGCACAATAGCAAGAAATCTTCAATTGCACAGTATTGCGCAATAGCAAGAAATCTTCAATTTAACAGTATTGCGCAATAGCAAGAAATATCCAATAGCACAATATTGCGCAATAGCAAGAAATTGTCAATTGTACAGTATTGCGCAATAGCAAAAAATATTCAATTGCACAGTATTGTGCAAAAGAAGATACTTCGTATAAATTGCTTATTTCTTGATCAATTTCAATGGGGTTTTATTCTTGAATTCTTGGGGTTCTTTAATATGCTGAATCTAACCGTGTATTAAGTTTTTGGATTTTGGGCCCCGTTTTTAAATTGGTCCACATTGAGGTCCAAAGGGTCCAAAATTTAATTTTGGGTCCCGTTTTTTAAATTGGTCTACATTAAGGTCCAAAGGGTCCAAAATTAAACTTAGTTTGATTTTAACAAAAATTGAATTCTTAGGGTTCTTTGATATGCTGAATCTAAACATGTGTTTAGATTTTTGATTATGGGCCCAGTTTTCAAGTTGGTCCAAGTTGGGGTCCAAAATTAAACTTTGTTTGATTTCAACAAAAATTGAATATATGGGGTTCTTTGATATGCTGAATCTAAACATGTATTTAGATTTTAGATTTTTGGCCCAGTTTTCAAGTTGGTCCAAATTGGGGTCCAAAATTAAACTTTGTTTGATTTCAACAAAAATTGAATATATGGGGTTCTTTGATATGCTGAATCTTACCATGTATTTAGATTTTTGATTTGTGGGCCCACTATCAAATTGGTTCATATTGAGGTCAAAAGGGTCCAAAATTAAACTTTGTTTGATTTCATCAAAAATTGAATTATTGGGGTTCTTTGATATGCCAAATCTAACCGTGTATTTAGATTTTTAATTTTGGGTCCTGTTTTTTAAATTGGTCTACATTAAGGTCCAAAGGGTCCAAAATTAAACTTAGTTTGATTTTAACAAAAATTGAATTTTTGGGGTTCTTTGATATGCTGAATCTAAACATGTGTTTAGATTTTTGATTATGGGACCAGTTTTCAAGTTGGTCCAAGTTGGGGTCCAAAATTAAACTTTGTTTGATTTCAACAAAAATTGAATATATGGGGTTCTTTGATATGCTGAATCTAAACATGTATTTAGATTTTAGATTTTTGGCCCAGTTTTCAAGTTGGTCCAAATTGGGGTCCAAAATTAAACTTTGTTTGATTTCAACAAAAATTGAATATATGGGGTTCTTTGATATGCTGAATCTTACCATGTATTTAGATTTTTTATTTGTGGGCCCGCTATCAAATTGGTTCATATTAAGGTCAAAAGGGTCCAAAATTAAACTTTGTTTGATTTCATCAAAAATTGAATTATTGGGGTTCTTTGATATGCCAAATCTAACCGTGTATTTAGATTTTTAACTTTGGGTACTGTTTTTTAAATTGGTCTACATTTAGGTCCAAAGGGTCCAAAATTAAACTTAGTTTGATTTTAACAAAAATTGAATTTTTGGGGTTCTTTGATATGCTGAATCTAAACATGTGTTTAGATTTTTGATTATGGGACCAGTTTTCAAGTTTGTCCAAGTTGGGGTCCAAAATTAAACTTTGTTTGATTTCAACAAAAATTGAATATATGGGGTTCTTTGATATGCTGAATCTAACCATGTATTTTGATTTTGGACATTGGACCATAATAGGTAAATTAAAAAAATTGAAGTTCTTAGACCACATTCTTTCTGTGTCAGAAACCTATGCTGTGTCAAATATTTAATCACAATCCAAATTCAGAGCTGTATCAAGCTTGAATGTTGTGTCCATACTTGCCCCAACTGTTCAGGGTTCGACCTCTGCGGTCGTATCAAGCTGCGCCCAGCGAAGCATTTTATTGATTATTGGCCCAGTTTTCAAGTTGGTCCAAATTGGGGTCCAAAATTAAACTTTGTTTGATTTCAACAAAAATTGAATATATGGGGTTTTTTGATATGCTGAATCTAACCATGTATTTAGATTTTTTATTTGTGGACCCTGTTATCAAATTGGTTCATATTGAGGTCAAAAGGGTCTAAAATTAAACTTTGTTTGATTTCATAAAAAATTGAATTATTGGGGTTCTTTGATATTCCAAATCTAACCGTGTATTTAGATTTTGAATTTTGGGTCCTGTTTTTTAAATTGGTCTACATTAAGGTCCAAAGGGTCCAAAATTAAACTTAGTTTGATTTTAACAAAAATTGAATTCTTGGGGTTCTTTGATATGCTGAATCTAAACATGTATTTAGATTTTTGATTATGGGCCCAGTTTTCAAGTTGGTCCAAGTTGGGGTCCAAAATTAAACTTTTTTTGATTTCAACAAAAATTGAATATATGGGGTTCTTTGATATGCTGAATCTAACCATGAATTTAGATTTTTTATTTGTGGGCCCCGCTATCAAATTGGTTCATATTGAGGTCAAAAGGGTCCAAAATTAAACTTTGTTTGATTTCATCAAAAATTGAATTATTGGGGTTCTTTGATATTCCAAATCTAACTGTGTATTTAGATTTTTAATTTTAAGTCCTGTTTTTTAAATTGGTCTACATTAAGGTCCAAAGGGTCCAAAATTAAACTTAGTTTGATTTTAGCAAAAATTGAATTCTTGGGGTTCTTTGATATGCTGAATCTAAACATGTATTTAGATTTTTGATTATGGGCCCAGTTTTCAAGTTGGTCCAAGTTGGGGTCCAAAATTAAACTTTTTTTGATTTCAACAAAAATTGAATATATGGGGTTCTTTGATATGCTGAATCTAACCATGAATTTAGATTTTTTATTTGTGGGCCCCGTTATCAAATTGGTTCATATTGAGGTCAAAAGGGTCCAAAATTAAACTTTGTTTGATTTCATCAAAAATTGAATTATTGGGGTTCTTTGATATTCCAAATCTAACTGTGTATTTAGATTTTTAATTTTAAGTCCTGTTTTTTAAATTGGTCTACATTAAGGTCCAAAGGGTCCAAAATTAAACTTAGTTTGATTTTAGCAAAAATTGAATTATTGGGGTTCTTTGATATGCTGAATCTAAACATGTGTTTAGATTTTTGATTATGGGCCCAGTTTTCAAGTTTGTCCAAGTTGGGGTCCAAAATTAAACTTTGTTTGATTTCAACAAAAATTGAAAATATGGGGTTCTTTGATATGCTGAATCTAACCATGTATTTTGATTTTGGACATTGGACCATAATAGGTAAATTAAAAAAATTCAAGTTCTTAGACCACATTCTTTCTGTGTCAGAAACCTATGCTGTGTCAAATATTTAATAACAATCCAAATTCAGAGCTGTATCAAGCTTGAATGTTGTGTCCATACTTGCCCCAACTGTTCAGGGTTCGACCTCTGCGGTAGTATCAAGCTGCGCCCCAGCGAAGCATTTTATTAAAATTTGAGTTATCTTCCTTTGTCCATGATTATAGTTGAATCAACTACAATCAATGCTTTATACAATGCAATGTTTAATTTTGACTTCCACTGATAAAACACAGATCAAGTTGAATTTGGGTAGTGTCACTTTAACCATTATTGAGTTATGCCCCTTTATAAATCAAAAGATTGCAAAATTTGTAGTTTCCATTCTGTAACTTAAGTTTGCCCCAACCAAACATTATGAAACCTATACACAATATTCATTACCACAAAACTAAGATCAAGTACAAATTTTTTGTTTCCGTTTTCTAACTTTAGTTTGCCTCAACCAAATGTTATGAAACTTATACACAATGCTTATTACTACATAATACAGATTTAGTACGAAATTTGGTGGCGACACTTTTACCATTCTTGAGTTATGTCACTTTATAAACAAAAAAATTGCTGAATTTTCGTTTCCGTTCTCTAACTTTAGTTTGTCTCAACCAAATGTTATAAAACTTATACACAACCGTTCTAGAGTTATGCGTGTTTACAAATAGAAAAATTGCTGAATTTTTAGTTTCTGTTCTCTACTTAAGTTAGCCTCAACCAAATGTTATGAGACTTACACACAATGCTTATTACCACAAAACTCAGATCAAGTTCAAATTTGGGTAGCGTCACTTTTCCGTTCTTCAGTTATGTCCCTTTATAACTATATGATATGCAAGCGGGGGCATCATCTGTGTCCACATGTGGACACTATCCACATTTATTTTTCATGAAAATAATGTTAATTGCAAAGACTTTCACTGTCTTTGAAAATATAGTCAAATATTTTATAAGTATATGGCCATTTTATATAACTTAATCTATTTCCATATTTCAGGATGTTAGAGCACTACTTACATCATGGGATGAACATATTAAATCTTGTGACCTCATTTTCCTTAGAGCTCCTAGTTTTAATAAGAAGATATTTTTCTCTGGCAAAGCACCTCCATTAGATAAAAAAGACAAACGAATTAGAATGATACCATTTCAGACCAAACGACCAACTCATAATGAGGTTCAACGAGTTCATCAAATGTTGGCTTCAATAGAATCATATGGTAAGGAAAGACTGAGCTTTTTTCCCTTATTCAGGCTTAATGTTAGAAGTAAAAAAAAAACTTTCATATATGATATTGCCATCAGATAGGTAGAGTTTTATGAAGTGTTTTATATTTTTTTTACCGCACATTTTTTCTATCAAGCAACTCGAGTATTCACTTTTATATGACCTAAAAAAATTGTGACTGTACCTGGTGACATGTTTGTTTCCCAAAGTTTCTATGACACATCCTTTTTATACAAAATCTCTCTTCAAAGTCTCTATTGACAAATCTTTTCAAAAAAATTCAAGGTATGGTAAGGGCATTGTTTGTTCTAAGTTTTCATGTAATATTTTAATATTTTGGTTAAGGTTTTCATTTAGGTCAGAACTAAAGCTCATACATCCAAAACAAAAATCAGGTGTCAAATGAGCCTCAATGTTACATTATTTGTAAGTATGGTGTCATGAAAAAAAACCACTTACATGTAAGTCCCTTCACTCAGGAAAATTTATTGATTTAAGTGAATTATCAGTTTTTATACGACCGCAAAAAAATTTTGTGGTCGTATATTGGTATGACGTTGGCGTCGTCGTCGTCGTCCGGCGTCGTCGTCCGAAGACACATTGGTTTTCGCACTCTAACTTTAGTTTAAGTGAATGGATCTTTTTGAAATTTGACCATAAGGTTAAATACCACAAAAGGAAGGTTGGGATTGATTTTGGGGGTTATGGTACCAACAGTTAAGGAATAAGGGGCCAAAAAGGGGCCAAAAATAAGCATTTTCTAGTTTCCAGACAATAACTGTGGAACGGTGTATGGATCTCTCTGAAATTATACTACAAGTTTCCATACCACAAAGGGATGGTTAGGATTTGCTTTGGGGGTTATGGCTCAAACCGTTTAGGAATTAGGGGCAAAAAAAGGGGAAAAACAAGGTTGTCCTGGTTAATGGACAAATACTTTAGTACAAAACATAATTTAAAGCAGTGTAAGGGAGATAAATCAAATACATCATTGAAATTATCTCCCTTACACTGCTTTTAAATTATGTATAAAGTAATGGTTAATGAACAATAAAGATAATTTAAAACAGTGTAAGGGAGGTAATCGGAATACAACGTTTTGGTTACTTCCCTTACACTGCTTTTAAATTATGTTTAAAGAAATACATATTTATAAAGGAAGACCAGTAAAAATATCTGCAAATGTTGCATCTTTTTTTTTTACAAAAAAATCCATATGAAAGATTTGACACTATATTTTTAATTCTATTATAAAATAGATTAAGTTAGCACTATGGTAAATTTAAATGGGTAATTATGGTTGCCAACTCCATTGGAAATTTGAATTGAGATTATGACCATATCTTGAGGGAAAGAATTTTTTTGGGGGAAAAAAGGGGGGGGGTATAAAAAGAAATTGTGGGGGGTCAATTTTTTCTCATTTCAGATTTCAGAAATTAAAAAGAATTATTCTTCAAATATTATTTTTTTTTCAAATTTCAAATATTGAAAAATTTCACGAAGTAATCTTTAATTGCACAGTATGGCGCATTAGATTTGTAAAATCTTTGATCACATTTATTTATTTGTTATGCCGAATCTAACAGTGTATTTAGATTTTTAATTTTGGGTCCAGTTTTCAAATTGGTCTACATTAAGGTCCAAAGGGTCCAAAATTAAACTTTGTTTGATTTTAGCAAAAATTGAATATATGAGGTTCTTTGATATGCTGAATCTAAACATGTATTTAGATTTTTGATTTTTGGCCCAGTTTTCAAGTTGGTCCAATATGGGGTCCAAAATTAAACTTTGTTTGATTTCAACAAAAATTGAATATATGGGGTTCTTTGATATGCTGAATCTAACCATGTATTCAGATTTTTTATTTGTGGACCCCGTTATCAAATTGGTTCATATTGAGGTCAAAAGGGTCCAAAATTAAACTTTGTTTGATTTCATCTAAAATTGAATTATTGGGTTTCTTTGATATTCCAAATCTAACCGTGTATTTAGATTTTTAATTTTGGGTCCTGTTTTTTAAATTGGTCTACATTAAGGTCCAAAGGGTCCAAAATTAAACTTAGTTTGATTTTAACAAAAATTGAATTCTTGGGGTTCTTTGATATGCTGAATCTAAACATGTGTTTAGATTTTTGATTATGGGCCCAGTTTTCAAGTTGGTCCAAGATAGGGTCCAGTATTTAAACTTTGTTTGATTTCAACAAAAATTGAATATATGGGGTTCTTTGATATGCTGAATCTAAACATGTATTTAGATTTTTGATTATGGGCCCAGTTTTCAAGTTGGTCCAAATTGGGGTCCAAAATTAAACTTTGTTTGATTTCAACAAAAATTGAATATATGAGGTTCTTTGATATGCTGAATCTTACCATGTATTTAGATTTTTTATTTGTTGGCCCCGCTATCAAATTGGTTCATATTGAGGTCAAAAGGGTCTAAAATTAAACTTTGTTTGATTTCATCAAAAATTGAATTATTGGGGTTCTTTGATATGCCAAATCTAACCGTGTTTTTAGATTTTTAATTTGGGTCCCATTTTTTAAAATTGGTCTTCATTGAGGTCCAAAGGGTCCAAAATTAAACTTAGTTTGATTTTAACAAAAATTGAATTCTTGGGGTTCTTTGATATGCTAAATCTAAACATGTGTTTAGATTTTTGATTATGGGCCCAGTTTTCAAGTTGGTCCAAGATAGGGTCCAGTATTTAAACTTTGTTTGATTTCAACAAAAATTGAATATATGGGGTTCTTTGATATGCTGAATCTAAACATGTATTTAGATTTTTGATTATGGGCCCAGTTTTCAAGTTGGTCCAAGTTGGGGTCCAAAATTAAACTTTTTTTGATTTCAACAAAAATTGAATATATGGGGTTCTTTGATATGCTGAATCTAACCATGAATTTAGATTTTTTATTTGTGGGCCCTGCTATCAAATTGGTTCATATTGAGGTCAAAAGGGTCCAAAATTAAACTTTGTTTGATTTCATCAAAAATTGAATTATTGGGGTTCTTTGATATTCCAAATCTAACCGTGTATTTAGATTTTCAATTTTAAGTCCCGTTTTTTAAATTGGTCTACATTAAGGTCCAAAGGGTCCAAAATTAAACTTAGTTTGATTTTAGCAAAAATTGAATTATTGGGGTTCTTTGATATGCTGAATCTAAACATGTGTTTAGATTTTTGATTATGGGCCCAGTTTTCAAGTTTGTCCAAGTAGGGGTCCAAAATTAAACTTTGTTTGTCCATCCCACTTTGTGTCTGGTGCATAACTTTTGTACCATATAACTTATGTTGCTCAAACCTGGCATGAAGATACAACATGGGCTGGGGTTGTGTCTTATACCAAAGTCAGGTCACCCTCACCTTGACTTTGACCCCTATGATAGTTAAAACCTTGTCCAATTTATGTCCGGCTCATAACGTTCCTTCCGTTAAACTTAGGTTGACCAAACATATGCAGTTGTGTCATGGGCTTGGGATGTGTAATATACCAAACTCAGGTCATTCTGATCTCGACTAACATCTATAGTTGATAGTAAAACCTCGTCTGAATTGTGTCTTGCTCATAACTTTTGAACCTTTGAACTTTGGTATTCTGATCCATCATGGGCTTGGGTTGTGTCATATATTAAAGTCAGGTCAATCTGACCTTGACTTTGACCTTTTACCCCTATGATAGTAAAACATTGTCTGTTTTGTGTTTGGTGCGTAACTTTTGTACTGTTGCACTGATTGACAAATTTTGTATGCAGAAGCATCATACTGACCTTGACTTTGACCTGTTTATTCCGAATTTATAGCATATAAACCTCAGACTTTGTTCCTGAGTCAGTATAATTCTGTCAGATTGACCTATCAGTAATCATGTGTCAACCTTAGACAGAGGCAATGATTATATAAAATGAATAGCTGAAAGCATTTAATCTCAAAATGTCATTGTCTTAATACTGAATTTCACAAGAGCAACTAAAATGTATGCTATGAAGACAGCTCTAGTTATTAAACAGGAATTGTTACTTCCAGGTGAAGAAGCAGGCATACAGGATTTCATCCCTCTTTCCCCACAGCTGACATTTAGTGCAGATGTTGGAAAGTTAATTGTTGTCCCTGAAGATATATCAACCTCTCCTAGACACAGAAAAAGTAAGGACAGACTGGGTACTTCTCCACTGACTAAACAATATGACGATTTACTCACAGAGGGCCTGGAGAAATCAGCTGGAGATGCAAGAGAAAGGGGCCAGAATGTAGGACTTATTGATGATAGAGACTATGTAATACCTCCTGAAAAGGGACAAACAAAAATGGGACTTGGTAAGCTATTCTTTTTATTTTATTACAACTATGACAAAATAATTAAATTATGTATATAAAAAAATCCCTCTTACAAATATAATAAAACCATGCAATACAAGCTCCAAATTCAAAAATGTGTAAAATATTTGTGATGTCCAGTTGTGTTGGGTTTTATTTTTTAAATACAGGTTTCAAAACTGGTAAAAAAGAATTGTTGTACTTGTCACTTCACTTAAGAGGGAGGTATACAGATTATTGTACCCATTTGTAAATCTGTTTTCTCTATTCCAAGACTAGTTAAATAATTTCATTATGACTTTCTGAAAATTTTTCATACATACTGGTATTGTGCATCTCCTATTTTATTTTTTTCCCCAAGAGGTTTAGTTTAGTGTTCAGCATAGCACAATATGGATTGGCCATATCATCTGCAAACTCTTCTTTACCTGGTTTGAAAGTCTCCATGTTTTTTTTTAAGTTGAGAGTGCTGAGAAATCATTCAGTGAAAAATTATCAGATTTTTTATATGCCCACAAACATTTTTTGCGGTCGTATATTGCTATCACGTCGTTGTCGTCCGAAGACATTTGGTTTCCAGACAATAACTTTAGTTTAAGTGTATGGATCTCTAAATTTAAGCAAAAGGTTCAATACCACAAAAGGAATTTTGGGATTGTTTTTGGGGGTGATGGTCCCAACTGTTTAGGAATAAGGGGCCAAAAAGGGGCCCAAAACAAGCATTTTTCTAGTTTCAGGACAATAACTTGTGTATAAGTATTTTGATTGCTCTGAAATTGTACCACAAGGTTCAATACCACAAGTAGAAGGTTGGGATTCATTTTGGGAGTAATTGCCCAAAAATTGGGGTTCAAAATTTATTTTGCTAATTCTTTGTATATAGTCTGAAAACAGATTTACTAAGTATTGCACAACAGCACAGTGTATTGCACAACAGGAAGAAATCTTCAATTGAATATAAATTCAAATCATATAACCAATTTCAAGTTCTTTGACTACATTTATTCTGTGTCAGAAACCTATAATGTGTCAAATATTTAATTACAATCCAAATTCAGACCTGTATCAAGTGCGAATATTGTATCCATTTTTGCCCCAACTGTTCAGGGTTGGACTTCTGCGGTCGTATCCAGCTACGCTCGGCGAAACAGTTTATTTTATTTTAACTATTCGTTGCTGAAAATGGGGGTATCTTGCTCTCATATTGAATCTGTTTATTATTATATATGAATTAATATTTATAATATAAATATTGTATTTTTAGACCATTTATTAATAAATGAAAGTTTTCCCAATTCATCTGGAAATTCTACAGCAAGTGACTCAGAATTAGTAGTTGTTATGCAGACACTTAAAACAGACCATCTCAAAGAATTTGCCATGTCAAAAAAACCAAAAAGGAAGAAAAATACCAGAAAACGAAGACCTTCCATTAAACATCAGCTGGAGCCTGGAACCAACCCTTTGGGTAAAATATATGAAGATTAAGATTTTTTTTAATTTGCAAAGTTTGATGATTCTTGATCATTAGGGGACCAACAAATTTTAATGCCATTGTTGCACAAGAATTGCAGATGGCTTTTATCTTAAAGAGATGAACAAATTTTAATATTTTTGTAGAAATTCTAAATATCATTATAGAACTTTACCGGCTTTCCTCCACTCAGTTCAAAATAATTAACTTATTTCATCTTATTTGTGTTTAAAATAATGATAGACATGTTCCTCAACCACCACTTTAACCCTTTCTAGGAAGTGATTCGTCAATTTAGAGTTCATGTGTTTGTTTATATCCTTTGACTTTATGGTTTTAATCTTGCATCTGATTAATCATATTGCTTGGTATTGGCAATGGTTTTGTTACACCAAGATATGGTTGAAATATTTATAAGTGTGTATGATTGCAAGGGGATGATCTGTTCAATTATCTTTTGCAGGTTTATGATATGAATAGTATACTGCACTAGTAAAAAGGTAGCTTTAATTGTAAATATTTTTTATGTCTTTTAAGGAACAAGTATACATTGTACCCTAGAAGTTGATTTGAAAACCATAGAAACTTATACAGTAAATATTGATATATTATGATAAGATATGAACAGTTTATTGGCATTATTTCAGATGAAGAGAAATACCATTTAAAAAACAGTTTATACACAGCTTGTAAAGTAGGTGATGCAGATACTTTGCTTAATCTTCTTGCTGTTTTTAATGTGTCAGACAAACCTGATGATGAAGGAGCATTTAGGGGTCAAGGTGATTCAAAGGTCATAGGTGATAGAGAAGTTATTGTTAGTGTCATAGATGGAGAAAATGTAATACAGGAAACTATGGAAGGAATTGCAAAATCAGAGGGTAATTTGAAAACCAGTGGAAGTGAAATACAATTTAATATTGATATAGATGATATGAAGGATCAAGATACAAATAATTTGACCTTTGAACCTGAAAATGTTTTTAATAATGAATACAAAGTGGATGATTCTAAAGATAAAATAGACCGTCAGTTGACTTGTGATGACCATGATTTAAATAGCACTAGGACAGAAAATACTGAAAATGTGGAAAGTAAAAGCAAAGAACAGAACATTGATTACTTCAATGCAGATCTATCTATGAAGCAATCTGGATTGACTTCTGCAAGTGCTACACAAATGCCTGATATTGAAAATGTGTTTGTTGATTCAGTGAATGAAAAATCCAACATGACACTGAATGTTAAAGAAAATAGTCGACCAACAAGCAGAGAAGGGAGTCGATCGCGTCACTCCTCAGCCAATGATATGTTACTAGTATCACCAATAATTGTAACTTCTGAATTATTGAATGAACCAATAGGAGACAGTGAGACAACTCTACTGATGATAGCATCTAAAGAAGGTCACAAGAAACTTATTCAAATGTTGATGAAAGCAGGATCAAATCCAGCTGTCAAGTAATTCTTTATTTATTTTAAATGATTTATTGCTATAAATGATTACATAATTTATTATGTGACAAGTCAGCATTCTAAGATTATTTTACTTGCTCAATCTCGTGTGATTTTTATACAACTGCAAAAAATTGCAGCCGTATAATGGTATGGTGATGTCGCTGTGGTCCGAAGACATTTGGTTTCCAGACAATAACTTGAGTATAAGTGTATGGATCCCTATGAAATTGTACCACAATGTTCCATACCACAAAAGGAAGATTGGAATTGATTTTTGGGGGTTATGGCCCTAACCGTTTAAGAATTTTGGTCCAAAAAGGGGCCAAAAGCAAACCTTTTTCTGTTTTCCAGACAATAACTTGAGTATAAGTGTATGGATTTGTATGAAATTGTACCACAAGGTTCCATAACACAAAAAAAAAAGGTTTGATTGAATTTGGGGGTTATTGCTATATCAGCTTATGAATAAGGGTTAAATGGGATAAAAAACAAGCAATTTTTATACGACCGCAAAAAATTTTTGTGGTCGTATATTTGTATCACGTCGTCGTCGTTGTCGTTGTCCAAAGACACTTGGTTTCCGGACAATAAATTTAGTATTAGTAAATAGAAATCTATGAAATTTAAACACAAGGTTTATAACCACAAAAGGAAGGTTGGGATTGATTTTGGGGGTTATGGTCCTAACAGTTTAGGAATTAGGGGCCAAAAAGGGGCCCAAATAAGCATTTTTCTAGTTTTCAGACAATAACTTGTGGAACGGTGTATGGATCTCTCTGAAATTGTACAACAAGTTTCCATACCACAAAGGGATGGTTAGGATTGGCTTGAGGGGGTCATGGCTCAAACAGTTTAGGAATTAGGGGCAAAAGAGGGGGAAAAAGTTTCCTTGTTAATTTTTTTTAAGTACAATATTAAATTTGGATTACCTCCCTTACACTGCTTTAAAATTATGTATAAAGAAATTTTGTATTGTCTTGAGGGGATTAGCTTTCAATTTATTTTTAGAAGTTACTAATAAAAATGCTGATTAAAGATATATTATTTTCAGACATGATTATGTATGTCATTTTCTATTTTAGACTTTTATGATGTATTTAAATGGGTAATTATGGTTGCAAACTCCATTGGAAATTTGAATTGAGATAATGACCATATCTTGAGGGAAATATTTTTTTTTTTGGAAAAAGGGGAGGGGGAAGGTAAGTGAAAAAAAATTTGGGGGAGGGGGGGGGGGGTAAAAAAGAAACTGTGGGGGGGGTAAACAATTTTTTTTTTTTTCATTACAGACTTCAGATATTAAAAAGAAAATTTCTTCAAATATTATTTTTTTTTTGCAAAAAAAAAGGGGTGGGGTGAAAAACAATTTTTTTGCAAAAAAAAAAGGGGGTGAATTTTTTTTTTTTGTGGGGGGTCAATTTGCAACAGCATAGTGTATTGCACAAAAGCAAAAAAAAAAGGTGGGGGTAAATTTTTTTTTTTTTGGGGGGGGGGGAGGTCAATTCACAACAGCATAGTGTATTGCACGAAAGCAAAAAATTGAATATAAATTCAAATCATATAACCAATTCTAAGTTTTTTGACTACAGTTATTCTGTGTCAGAAACCTATTATGTGTCAAATGTTGAATTACAATCCAAATTCAGACCTGTATCAAGTGCGAATATTGTATCCATTTTTGCCCCAACTGTTCAGGGTTGGACCTCTGCCATCGTATCCAGCTGGTCTCGGCGAAGCAATTTATTAAAAGAGTTATGCCCCTTTGAAACATTAATTATATGGAAAATTGCATCATTAGCGCTCTAATGTGTACAATTCTTGTCAGATTTTTATGAAACTTATATCATAGGTTTATATTAGCAATGTCTTTGACGAGTTTGAAAATCAGTGCCAATCAATTATTTTTAAAAGAGTTATATCCCTTAAAAACATTAATTATATGGAAAATTGCATTGTTAGCGCTCTCGAATGTACAATTCTTGCCAAATTTTTATACGACCGCAAAAAAATTATGCGGTTGTATATTGGTATAACGTTGGCATCGTCGTTGTTGTCCGAAGACACATTGGTTTTTGCACAATAACTTTAGTTTAAGTGAATGTATCTCTATGAAATTTTACCATAAGGTTCAATACCACAAAAGAAAGGTTGGGATTGGTTTTGGGGGTTATGGTACTAACAGTTAAGGAATTAGGGGCCAAAAAGAGGCCAAAAATAAGCATTTTTCTAGTTTCCATACAATAACTTGTGGAACGGTGTATGGATCTCTCTGAAATTATACCACAAGTTTCCATACCACAAAGGGATGGTTAGGATTTGCTTTGGGGGGTTATGGCTCAAACCGTTTAGGAATTAGGGGCAAAAAAGGGGGAAAAAAAAGGGTGTCCTGGTTAATGGACAAATACTTTAGTACAAAAAAATAATTTAAAGCAGTGTAAGGGAGGTAATTCAAATACATCATTTGAATTACCTCCCTTACAATGCTTTTAAATTATGTATAATGTAATGGTTAATGAACAATTAAGGCAATTTAAAAGCAGTGTAAGGGAGGTAATCCAAATACAACATTTTGATTAACTCCCTTACACTGCTTTTAAATTATGTTTAAAGAAATGCATATTTATAAAGGAAGACCACTAAAAATATCTGCAAATATTGCATCTTTTTTTTTTTACAAAAAAATTCATATGAAAGATTTGACACCATATTTTAAATTCTATTATAAAATAGAATAAGTTAGCACTATGGTAAACTTAAATGGGTAATTTTGGTTGCAAACTCCATTGGAAATTTGAATTGAGATTATGACCATATCTTGAGGGAAAGAATTTTTTGGGGGAAAAAGGGCAGGGGGGGGGGGGGGGTAAAAAGAAATTGTGGGTTGTGGGGGGTCAATTTTTTCAGATTTCAAATTTCAGAAATTAAAAAGAAAAATTCTTCAAATATTATTTTTTTGCAAAAAAAAAGTGCGTAAGGGGGGGTGGGGTGGAGGGGTTAATATGCAACAGCATAGTGTATTGCACTAAAGCAAAAAAAAAGGGGGGCTAAATTTTTTAAATTTTTTATTGTGGGGGGGAGGGGGGGTCAATTCGCAACAGCAAAGTGTATTGCACAAATGCAAAAAATTGAATATAAATTCAAATCATATAACCAATTCTAAGCTCTTTGACTACATTTATTCTGTGTCAGAAACCTTTTATGTGTCAAATATTTAATTACAATCCAAATTCAGACCTGTACCAAGCGCGAATATTGCGTCCATTTTTGCCCCAACTGTTCAGGGTTGGACCTCTGCGGTCGTATCCAGCTCGGCGAAGCAATTTATTTTAAACTAATATCATAGGTTTGGTTGTCTTTGATGAGTTCGAAAATCATTGCCTACCGGTATCAATTATTTTAAAAAGAGTTATGCCTCTTGGAAATATTGATTATATGGAAAGTTGCCTTATGAGCGCTCTTATGTGTACAATTCTTGCCAGATTTTTATGAGATTTATATTATAGGTTTATATCATCAATGTTTTTGTTGAGTTTGAAAATCAGTGCCTATCAATTTTTTTAAAAGAGTTATGCCCCTTGGAAATATTGATTATATGGAAAATTACATTGTTTGCACTCTCTTGTGTACAATTCTTGCCAGATTTTTATGAAATTTATATCATCAATGTTTTAGACAATTTAAAAAATTGGTGCCGATCAATTATTTTAAAAAGAATTATGTCCCTTGGAAATATTGATTATATGGAAAATTGCATTGTTAGAGCTCTCATGTGTAAAATTCTTGCCAGAATTTAATGAAACTCATATCATAGGTTTATATCAGCAATGTCTTTGACACTTTCGAAAATAAGTGCTGATCAAATATTTTTAAGGAGTTATGCCCTTGGAAAAATTAATTATAACGGAAATCGCATTGCATTTGCTCTGAAGCCTTCATTTCTCTAAGATATTTATATATTGTTTTAAAGAACAAAAAAAAGTACTTTTTTTAGTTATTGCCCTTGGATAGATAAAAAAATGTGCAACACAGGGACATTGGAACTCTGTTCTTTTATCATTATGAAAGGATTGCTTAAACATGACCTAAATTTACCTGTTTATTTATCATATTTGACCTTTTTCAAGGTTTTAGATCTGCCAAATAGTTTGAGGTAGTGAGTTAGATTATGATTAATGATGCAATTCTTCTTCAGGGATAAATATGGTCAGACTGCATACCAGATAACTTCAGACAAAGAGACGAGGAACGAATTCAGAAGATTTATGGCTAAGTTTCCTGACAGATATGATTACGACAGTGGAAAGGTAAGACCCTTTATTCTACAAGTGACATTCCTGAAAGATATGATTACGACAGTGGAAAGGTAAGACCCTTTATTCCACAAGTGATTTCCTTTGCAATAAAATTAATTTAAATGTACAGTTCCCTAAAAAGGTTTAAATTTTATATGAATACTATGTGATGGATTGTATGCAATGGTTTTAAATATTTCTAAGTATAAATATTTGTAATGCTGAAATATTTTTTCTTATAAAAAAACAGATACCTGGGCCACTAACTGAAGAAATGGAGGCAGAAAGAAGGAAAAAGGAAGCTGAAAGAAAAAAGCAACAGAAGAAAGCAAAACAGGAAAGAGACAAGGTATAATATGTAGTGTAATATGTTTATCTGATAACTGCTTTATTGCCTTTTTTGCCCCCCACTGGGGACATGGAAATACAGGGCGTTCGTTTGTTTTTGTGTATCTGTCCTTCTTGTCTTGTTAGCACTCTAACATGTACTATTCTTGCCAGATTTTTATAAAACTTATATCATAGATTTATATCAGTAATCTCTCGGACAAGTTTGAAAAACAATGCTGATCAGTTATTTTTAAAAGAGTTATGCTTTTGGAAATATATAAATTATGTGGAAAATTGCAATGTTAGGGCTTTCACATGAAAAATTCTTGCGAGATTTTTATCAAATTTATATCAAAGGTTTGTATCAGCAAGTCTTGAAAAAATTTGAAAATCAAATGTTCTCACATCTACAATTCTTGCTAGATATTTATCAAATCATATTTTAAAAGAGTTATGCCCCTTAGAAATATTAATTATATTGAAAATTGCATTGGAAGCTTTCAGTCTTCATTTCTGTAAGATATTTATAAAAAGTTTTGAAGAACAAAAAAAAAAGTTTTTTAAGTTATTGCCCTTGGACAGAAAAAATATGTGTTACGCGAGAGACATGTAGAGGTTACAATTGTAAAAGGTTATAAGACAGAGAAAAATGTTAGTTAAAGCAAAATTTAGATTATTGAGGGTATCTCATATTTTTATGAAATTTTGTATATATTTAGAGTTGTTGAACTGCATCTGAATATTTGTAGCATGTAAATCTATTTCACAATTTTTTTGTTGATTATTTTTTGTCGAGCCTGCGACTTTTGTCGCAGAAAGCTCGACATAGGGATAGTGATCCGGCGGCAGCGGCGGCGGTTAGCTAACTTCTTAAAAGCTTTATATTTTAGAAGGTGGAAGATCTGGATGCTTCATACTTTGTATATGGATGCCTCATGATACGAATTTTCCGTCAGTCACATGTCCAATGTCCTTGACCTCATTTTCATGGTTCAGTGACTACTTGAAAAAAAAGTTAAGATTTTTTGTAATGTTAAATTCTCTCTTATTATAAGTAATAGGATAACTATATTTGGTATGTGCGTACCTTGCAAGGTCCTCATGCCCGTCAGACAGTTTTCATTTGACCTCAACCTCATTTCATGGATCAGTGAACAAGGTTAAGTTTTGGTGGTCAAGTCCATATCTCAGATACTATAAGCAATAGGTCTAGTATATTCGGTGTATGGAAGGACTGTAAGGTGTACATGTCCAACTGGCAGGCGTCATCTGACCTTGACCTCATTTTCATGGTTCAGTGGTTATAGTTAAGTTTTTGTGTTTTGGTCTGTTTTTCTTATACTGTATAAAATAGGTCTACTATATTTGGTGTATGGAATGATTGTGAGGTGTACATGTCTAGCTGGCAGGTGTCATCTGACCTTGACCTCATTTTCATGGTTCAGTGGTCAAAGTTAAGTTTTTGAGTTTTGGTCTTTTTTGTAATACTGTATGCAATAGTTCTACTATATTTGGTGTATGGAATGATTGTAAGGTGTACATGTCTAGCTGGCAGGTGTCATTTGACCTTGACCTCATTTTCATGGTTCAGTGGTCAAAGTTAAGTTTTTGAGTTTTGGTCTTTTTTTCTAATACTATATGCAATAGTTCAACTATATTTGGTGTATGGAAATATTTATGATCTATAATTATGTCAGTCATGCAGGTTTTATTTGACCTTGACCTCATTTTCAAGGTTCATTGCTCAGTGTTAAGTTTTTGTGTTTTGGTCTGTTTTTATACGACCGCAAAAATTTTTTGCGTTCGTATATTGGTATGACGTTGGCGTCATCGTCGTCATCGTCGTTGTCGTCGTCTTCCGGCGTCGTCCGAAGACACATTGGTTTTCGCACTCTAACTTTAGTTTAAGTGAATGGATCTCTATGAAATTTTACCATAAGGTTCAATACCACGAAAGGAAGGTTGGGATTGATTTTGGGGGTTATGGTACCAACAGTTAAGGAATTAGGGGCCAAAAAGGGGCCAAAATAAGCATTTTTGTAACTTCCAGACATAACTTGTGTGTTAGTGTATGGATCTCTCTGACATTGTACCACAAGGTTCCATATCACACAGGGAATGCTGGGATTGATTTTGGGGGTAATTGCCTCAAATATTAGGAATTAGGGGCAAAAAAAGGGGCAAAAAACAAGCATTTTTCTAGTTTCATGACAATAACTTGTGTGTAAGTGTATGGATCTTTCTGAAATTGTACTACAAGGTTCCATATCACAAAGGAAAAGCTGGAATTGAGTTTGGGGGTAATTGCCCAAAACGTTTAGGAATAAGGGGCCAAAAAGGGGCCAAATATAAGCATTTTTCTAGTTTCCAGACAATAACTTGTGTTCAAGTGTATGGATCTCTCTGATATTGTACCACAAGGTTCCATATCACACAGGGAATGCTGGGATTGAGTTTGGGGGTGATGAATCATAAGGGGGTTCACAAAATTTTTTTTTGGGGGGGGGGGGGTTTCCTTTTTTTTCTTTTTTTCCCTTTTTTTTTTCTTTTAAAATTTTCCATTTTAAGTTGGTTATTTCTGTTTTATATTTAAAAGCAAATAATAATGATATGGTAGGAGATACACACCAAACAGGATGTGTAAATTATTATATAATAAGTATTGTGCAATAGCAAGAAATTTTCAATTGCACAGTATTGCACAATAGCAAGAAATCTTCAATTGCACAGTATTGCGCAATAGCAAGAAATCTTCAATTGCACAGTATTGTGCAATAGCAAGAAATATCCAATAGCACAATATTGCGCAATAGCAAGAAATTGTCAACTGTACAGTATTGCGCAATAGCAAGAAATATTCAATTGCTCAGTATTGTGCAAAAGAAGATACTTCGTATAAATTGCTTATTTCTTGACCAATTTCAATGGGGTTTTATTCTTGAATTCTTGGGGTTCTTTAATATGCTGATTCTAACCGTGTATTAAGTTTTTGGATTTTGGGCCCCTTTTTTAAATTGGTCCACATTGAGGTCCAAAGGGTCCAAAATTAAACTATGTTTGATTTCATCAAAAATTGAATTATTGGGGTTCTTTGATATGCTGAATCTAACCGTGTATTTAGATTCTTAATTTTTGGTTCCGTTTTCAAATTGGTCTACATTAAGGTCCAAAGGGTCCAAAATTAAACTTAGTTTGATTTTAACAAAAATTGAATTCTTAGGGTTCTTTGATATGCTGAATCTAAACATGTATTTAGATTTTTGATTATGGGCCCAGTTTTCAAGATGGTCCAAATCGGGGTCCAAAATTAAACTTTGTTTGATTTCAACAAAAATTGAATATATGGGGTTCTTTAATATGCTGAATCTAACCATGTATTTAGATTTTTGATTTTAGGGCCCCATTTTCAACTTTGTCCACATTGAGGTCCAAAGGGTCCAAAACTAAACTTAGTTTGATTTTTACAAAAATTGAATTCTTAGGATTCTTTGATATGCTGAATCTAAACATGTATTTAGATTTTTGATTATGGGCCTAGTTTTCAAGTTGGTCCAAATCGGGGTCCAAAATTAAACTTTGTTTGATTTCAACAAAAATTGAATATATGGGGTTCTTTGATATGCTGAATCTAACCATGTATTTAGATTTTTGATTTTTGGGCCCCAATATCAACTTTGTCCACATTGAGGTCAAAAGGGTCCAAAATTAAACTTTGTTTGATTTCATCAAAAATTGAATTCTTGGGGTTCTTTGATATGCTGAATCTAACTATGTATTTAGATTTTGGATATTGGACCATAATAGGTGAATGTCCAATTTAAAATTTTTAAGTTCTTAGACCACATTCGTTTTGTGTCAGAAACCTATGCTTTGTCAAATATTTAATCACAATCCAAATTCAGAGCTGTATCAAGCTTGAATGTTGTGTCCATACTTGCCCCAACTGTTCAGGGTTCGACCTCTGCGGTCGTATCAAGCTGGGCCCTGCGGAGCATTTTATTCTTAAACTATAAGCAATAGGTCAACTATATTTGTTGTATGGAAGAATTGTTAGCTGTACATGCCTGCCTAGCATGGTTCATCTGACCTTGACCTCATTTTCATGGTTCATTGGTCAATGTTTAGTTTACTTGGTTAATGTTAAGTTTATGTGACAGCTGTAATAAAGGTTTATATTTAGGACTATCAACATAATATCAATGATTAGTAAAGAAGGCGAGACATTTCAGCATATGCACTCTTGTCTAAAAGTATAACTGCTACAAGCTACAAGTATCTTTTTAGTGCCCTACCGACAAAGTCGAAGGGGACTTTAGGTTTACACTCTGTCTGTCTGTATCTGTCCATCCTTCAGTCCGTCAGTCCAGCAAATCAGTTTTACACACTTTTTTTCTTCGTGTTTAAAGATATTGATTTGATATTTGGTGTATTGTTTTATCATGACAAGTTACAGATCAAGTTCGAATTTTGTTCCGGTCTGATAATTTTGTGCAGAGTTATGGTCCTTGGACTTAGAAATTTCACTCAAATATTCAGGAGTCAGCACTTTTTAGCTCACAGGGGTCCGAAGGGCCCCATGTGAGCTGATGCCATCACTTGGCGTCCGTCGTTGTCGTCTGTCGTCGTAAACTATTTAAAAAATCTTCTCCTCTGAAACTACTGGGCCAAATACCTTCAAACTTTAACTAAATGTTCCTTAGGGTATCTAGTTTATAAATTGTATCCTAAGTTTTGATCCATCGACAAACATGGCCACCATGGCTAAAAATAGAACATAGGGGTCAAATACAGTTTTTGGCTTATATCTCAAAAACTAAAGCAGTGATCTGGAAGGATTTTTTCTCTATGGGCCCAGGGCCCCCCAAAAATAAATTCAATGGGCCATTTTTAGAATTAATGGGCCATGTTGTCAAATGAGTGGGACATTCGTTTACAATAAAAAAAAAAATAAAAAAAGTGTATATTTCACTGTACTTACAAGTATGATTCTAATTAATATCATGGATATTGTTCCTGTGA